TTTTACAATACCTTAATTTCAGAAAGGACGGAATATTTAACTCTCCTTTAAAGGAAATTAACCTTTGGAAATTCACTGCGTGGATAAATCAGTGCATCCAGAAACCTCAATTTTCCCCAACATTCACTGAACAAGATACAGCTATTAAAATTTTAGTCAGTAGAAGATTCAGGTCCACAATACGAGCTGAAGGACAATTCAGCACAAAAATATAGAGAACCTTCATGAACGCTATGAATCTGGTTCGTCAGTTTTTACTAAGCAATGTACCGAAATTATAAATGCCCAATAAAAGGCTTTATATCCTCTTAAGACTCTCCCACCCCCCATCAACTTCCTATCTACTGCTTTTTGCTAATAGCTCAGAAACATATAAGGAGCCTTAAATCTAAAAACAGGAGAGTTACTTCTGAAACTTTCAGCAGAGGAGTTTCAGTCTTTACTTTCCCTCTATCAAAATTGGCAAAGATCATTCACGTGTAAACATATAGAATGGAAAATATGAAAGTGGAGAAGCAAAATTGACTGAATATCCAATATTCAGCTGACAATAGTGTAAAAACCTGAATCACCTTCCTGCTACCCACTCCCACAGAAACTTCAGGGTAAAAAAAAAAAAAAAAAAAAAAATCTTAAGAGCTACAGACAGTGCAAATGACAAAATGTACAGAGGAGACAGAAAAAATAAAAAGTAAAAGAAGGAATTAATGCAACCTTTAATATGATGTAAAAATAAAGAATTCTGCATTACTTAACAAGAACAGTGGAAGAACTAAATGGTTTTATTTTCCATCCTTATATGATAAGCAGAATCTTAATTGTGTATTTCTGGAGTGATCAATGCAGTTACCTGGAATTTACAGAAGCCTGGAGAAACAATGCCAAACAGGAATTTGAAGAAAGTTAAAATGAAGAAATTGATTAGAAATGCTGTGTTAATGTTGATCTGGGGAAAAAAAAAAATAAAAAAAATCAAGACTTCCCTGAAGAAGACCAGTACGCATAGGATGGATGGCTGCCTTCCCTGATTCCATACACTGCACATCAGAACTTGCACACAGTGAAAACACAAAACGTACACTGCAACGCCAAAAGAGCCAGAAAACAGGAAGTTCCAGGGGGAGGCAGCACCCAGCAATGGTTGTCCAGAAATCTACCTCTCTACACCATGGGACAGGATATGCACTTGAGCCCAAGTCAATGTGCCAGATGGTTGGGCTGAGGAAGTCCTAACTGGATCTCCTCCCTCATGGACAAGACACCCCTATGCCAGATCTCCTCCTAGCGACCCAGCCCCAACAACCTTCGCATTCAGTGTTCTTGCGAGTTGTAGATCCATGCAGTTATACACTAAAGAAATCTTTTCCAGCATGCCCTTCCAATTACCAGCTTTCCAAGATTAAAAGGAGGCAAACACGTGACTTATCCAAATTATGTGTTAGCTAAACCACACCAAACTATATGAAACTCTTAATAAATCTAACTAAATGAGAGCTAGGCGTTAAGCATGTTGATAAAGTTAATGCAGATGGAAATGCGATTACTACATGGTCACTTTTCTAGAGTCTAAATTAATGGTAACTGCTCACAAAAGAAACCTGAAGAGAAACACCTGGAAATTAGGATTCCTACTCTAAGGCCCAAAATGTAAAAACAATTTTCATACATGATTTGCAAGTGAGATTCTTCTTTCATTTAAATTAATTACTTTATTATAATGTTACTAGTTTTACAAAAGCACAGTGAGGACAAAAAATTAATTTTTATTTACTTCCAAACTGAACTCACCTTCCTGTACTCAGATTAAACTGGTAAACCCTCTTTCAAGTTTTGTTAAAATAGTAAAATATTTATTTTGATCACAATGAAACAGATTATCTTTTCAAAAAGGACACTCAAATTTGACGGAGGGTTGAAGCCTGACCTTTCAGAGCAGACCGTACAGATGATCTAGTGGAAGAGCTTACAGCAAGAGGCGGCAAAGCTGGCAGAAAGCGATAGTCAGGCCTGTCTTTTGCTACAAATCCATGCATGATGTACTTGGAGCACAGCACAGGAGCTCATTATTGCTGTGAATACAGGTTTAAAAATGAAGCATACTTCTGATTTCAGTACAGCAAATTCAAAATAACTTAGTATTTGCTACAATCGGCTCTTCCATTTATACTCAATAGGATGAATATCCAACTCAGTCATATTACAATTTTGACACGTTTAAAATTTCATTATCAGAGAATGCCTATTTATATTTAAATGAGCTTGTATCGCACACAACAGATTTGACACACATGACAGTCTACCTTATAAAAACAGAAGGTGAAAAGGGTATTTAACTTTTAGCTGCTTAGTGCTACTGCATTAGATGGACATGTTTGCAGAGCTACTCCGAGGGATTTTGTTACAGCTTGTAAAAGGGGATTACCAAACTGTTCTTTCCAATTTATGTGAAAAACATTGAGTTGCACACCAATATCCATCAGCATGATAAACTCTGACTCTGACACATATAAGGCCAATTCATGATTGAAACTGACACAGAGAACTACTTTAATCAACTAATAATCACTCAAAATTACCTCCGGGAAAATCCCTGTAGCTTCAGTATTTAGATAAGTGTCAAGGCTCAGTCTGAACCTTCTTACCAAGAAGGCAGCTTCTCTTACAACAAATCTCTGTTAAGTTGGCAAGAGTTAATGTACCTGGCAGCTCCTCAGCAGACAGCAGGTTTGGATGCAGAATGCTGATGACACCAGAGCTTTCTGCCACCAACAGAAGTTATTAAGGTGAAAGAATTTTCAAATTAGTCACTTCTGTAAATTCTTAAAAGAAAATCACTCTTAGGATAAAATATCATAGCTCAAGAATGAATTTACTTGGAGGATGCTCGATAAAGCTCCTTTTGTTTGTTTTCGACATGTGAAATGCATTATAGAGCATTATTCACCGTGCACTAGACTATTTTTTACAAATCTATGTACACAGATGACTCCAAATACACACTGTAAAACAAGCAGCTTGATACCAGTTTTGGCTAGCTCTCAGCCAGATTGAATACCAGTCCGATTAGCAAAACATTCGATTAGTTGAGCAGACTTTGACTTCAAGTGCATACAGATAGACCTACAGTATCTGTAGATATTAAAACAAACAAACAAAACCAGGCAAAAAAACCCAGAACAACGAAGAATGCCTAGTTTCAAATAGGAAACCAAAACATTTCTTTGCCAGCTGACCTGCAGAGAAGCCTGTGGAGATGCCACTTTGACCAACCTAAATACCGTAGGGTGTAGGGCTAAACCATACAACTGATGCCAAGTTTGTGGGTATCCATTGTAATGGGTCATCTGCGGACACTTGCTGACTGCCTGCCAATCCTGCCCTCTGCTACTGGCTAAAAGACTTGCTAATAATAGCACTAAAGTATTTTTTTTTTGTCTTGTAGGGCCTGCCCTTAAAACAACATTCTTGTTACGGAGCCACATTATGTTCTTTGCCGATTAGAAGGATGTTTATTTAAGAAATAAAGCAAACAAAGCCTCAGAGTGCAAATACACCATGTTCATTGCATTTAATGTGTTTTTTGGTTTTACTTTAGCCAAGTAAAAGCACATATTACACTTAAACATAAACAAAAGAAGCTGCTGTCTCTGCAGTCACTCACGTGCTGATTACATCCTGTTTCCAAAGAGTTCACATTGTTCTGAGAAAAAGTTTTGCATATGCCAATACCTATCTTCCCAAACCTGCAGTTCTCTCTCAAGCAAGCCAAGCATAGATTCAAACTGTTATTTCCAAGATTTTGTAGTAATGCTGTCTGAAAAGATTTCTGATGCAGCTTTTCTTCAGAAGAGACTCATATCCTCCTGCCAACATAGATAATCTGCCGTAACTGTTCATTTAGATTCAACTAAATTAACTCTAGAGCATTTGGGTGTTGTGTTAATTGATCTCAACTAAGAAAATAATGTCACTGTGCCAACTGAAAACCTGCTACCGGAATATGCTGTGACAGCCTAACACTGTGGAGCTGCAGCATACCTATAGCAGAGATATTTTATAATTATGCAAAGGTGAAGGATGTCAAGGCAAAACATGTCCTGTGGGGCAAAAAACACTTCATTCTGCTTGGTTTGCACTGAAGGTCTGATGACTGGCCCTCCCTTAGCCAGGAGTCCTGCACAATTTCAGTCCCTGGCACTTTCCCCATTCAGGTTAAAATAACCTTTGAGGAAAGGGAGAGATTTCAGACTCGAGAGTATTGGTTTCTCACCATATTTGTTTCACTGGCATTGAACTACTGCCGAGGAAATTATAACACAATTACAACCTTAGCAAAATGCAAAGCTGTATTTGAGAGAGGCAGTGGTCTAACCAGAGCAACCAAATTCAGTGTTTAACCAGACACAAGTGCTTACAAAGGGTATCAGAAAATAGTACGTCTCACATAAGAAAGGGGACAAGTTATGATAGTTGTGGGAATCATTACTCTGAATTTCCTGACTTTATGTGTGTGAATTTCAGCAATAATGTCACATTAATGTAGTTATTTGCATGTTACACTCTCATGTTTATTGAAAAAGCCCACAGTTACCACAATGACAAACCATTCTCTGAGATACAGTCAGGGTAAGTAAATGTCAAGCAGCAGGAGAAATTTAAGTTACATGGTATCACAGATGTCCACTGTAAGTGAAAACATTTTTTTTTTTTTTCTTTCTACCATGCAAAAGCCTCTTGGGAAGGAATCAGTTGGTCCTTTTTATAGCAAAGATGATTTCTATGTGCATAGCTTAAGACATTCAGTGGGAACCAATAAATAACTAAAACACAAAAGCAGGACCCACTGACAAATTTTCATCTTAAAATATAACAAAATACAGTTCTTTTTTAAAATATTTGCAATGATGATTTAGATAAAACTGTTTCAGTAAGTCACACAGGATGCTCGTGAAGGTGACCGGGAGATGGTGTCTTTTGCACAGTTCTGCTGGGCTGCCTACCTGATAAATGGTCCTCACGCCAGAGCTCTGCAAAGAGGCTGGCTTCAACAGGGACGTGAATTGTGTTGCTCATACCTGCACATTTGCAGCACTGCCAAAATGGTTTCCTAAGCATCTCCCTTGAGAAGACATCCATGAGATCTTTAGGGTTTCTTTCCTACGTGCCTGTATGACTTTGCTTGGGGAAAATGAAAGACAAGGCTTTGTTTTTCCCAGTAACAATATAAGAGCATGGGCAGATCGTATCAGAAAAAGAAAAAAAAAAGTGACACACTATTAAACTCTTCCACCAAGCATTACTTAAAAGCAGAGGTTATACAGATGGAATAAGTGGAACCACTCATGTTCTCAAAAAACATGTAATCTTTGAAATGGATTTCCTATGTACCATCAAATGTGTAGTTTTTACTGCAATATATATATATACACACAAAAAATTAAACCATAAAGCCTTAAAACAAAGTCCATAAAGCCCAAAACAGATTTCTACATATTCTCATATGAGTAGCAAGAATTTTATCACTGCTACAAGTTCAGAATTTGGAAAACCAGCTTCCTATCCTGGCATACTACCTTAAGCTGAACTGCATTGAATAACACTTGGTTGTGAGGGACATATGGTTAGGTATCTTTAGATAGGTATACACACAAACACTTCACAAACTAATTCTTATTTTAAAATAAAACATCTGGAAAAATAACTTTCTTCTATCTGCTAACCTGCTGGCAGACCACAAGAGTATAAGAGATAACACAGGTCCATCTAGCATGTCTGTAACAGCAAAAGTTGATTTGAGGCATGGAAGAATTTCAGAACAGAGCAAGTACCTAGCACATATGTCTAGAATACCCTTTCAGTCTCCAACAGTTTGTGCATTTCCAAGACCGAAGTGCTGGGGATTTCTTTGGAAGTCTTTTTGTTTGCTTCATTGTTGGGGTTGGCTTAGGGGCTTTTTAGAACAGTGTTTCATGGATTTCTTTTATTTGAAACTCTCCAATCATAACTTAAGCCCATGTTAACTTTTATTATCTACAGCTTTCTTCAGCAAGCAGTTGATGCGCTGAAATGTAGTTCTTTTTGTTTGCTTTAAGCCAGCTCTTGCTAGTTTCATTTATTTCCCCCTGTTCTTTTCTTAGATGAGACAGTGAACATTTCTTCCCTATTCATTTTCTCCATGCCACTTACAATTTTATAGAGTTCTAAAATAAGCTCCCTTTTTTTCCAGGATAAAGTGTCCTAGCCAATTTAGTCCCGCCTTGTGCGGCAGTCATTGCATACCCTTGTTCAAACTTGCTGCCCTTTCTAGAATCTACCCCATTTCTACTACACATTTTTTGAGAGATGGAGACCAGAACTGGCCCGAATGCTGAACACGCAGGGACAGAGTGGAATCATTCAGTGCCATAATGATGTTCTGTTCCATTTTCTACTTTTTCTTAGTAATTCCTAACACTGCACTGGCTTTAAAAAAAGAATATATATATAGACACACACACACACACACACACACACACTGGGCATTCAGCTTCAAAAGTATAAGATACTTTGCAGCTCTAGAGAACACCACAAGAACGTACCTTCATGGTTCTGGAGGAAGATACTAAAATTTGACAGGTGATTTTGTGTCACTTTCTCATGGAACAACACAGGTTAAGTATTCCCTTTTCTCATTCATTTTAATAATCTTGATTAATTTTATGATGATATTTGCAATTAAGACATGCAGAATTTCATGGAATAGACAGTAAATATCACTAATGAACAGGTTATAGGAGATGTTTTGTACAAACATAATACAATAATGCCTCAAAGATGCTTTTTGCAAGTGTAATGATTAATGATTTGACAGATAATGAAGAATTTTTTCTGTCAGAATTGGGGGGGGGACAGGGGTCAAGTGCAGGCAGACTCAAAAACTAGCTGTAGTTTAAACACATCGGGACAATACATTGCAACATAAAGTTTCCCCAGTTCACATCCCAATGACATTACCAAAACATGCAATATCCTGGCAGCATGAATGCAAAAAGGCTGAAAGGCTGGTGCTGCGTAGCTGTCAACAAGGCAGTTCCATGCACTGCTTGTGTCAGCAATATATAAATAATATATCACTGAAATACTAAAAATATTGCACTGTAGCTTACTGTATCTGCATCCTCAACAGTTAAATTAGTACTATACAGAGTGATGTTTTCAGCAGAAGGGTTAAGAACACAAAAATGGGGTAAGGATGAGAGCAGAGCAAGGTTTTAACACAACGACGGCACTTGAAGATAATGGGTAGACAACGAAGGGACTCCAAGCTGGTACCGTGCCACGTAGGAACCCCAAAGTCCCAAGTTCCTATAATGAATATAGGCTCAGCTCTGTGTTATGGAAAGTCAAACCTATTTCCTAAACCAAATTCTATTTCTAGTCCATAGACTGCTGTTTTCATCATTGCTACCCTTCTCCAAATTTCCGGCATCATTCTCAATTCTAGCTTTTACTCATGGAATTAAAATATTTATATTTAATAAATACAAAAACACTGTCTCACTTTTTATCTGATTTAATATCTAGTATTTTTCCTGAATGCAGCACTGAAAAAGAGAACAAAAAAAAAAAATCTATTGAATAGGAGCAGTTCTGGGGAAAGCAGGTCATATTGTAATACCAAAGAGAATGGGGGAAAAACCATAAATATATATATCATTTTGCTTGCTGCCTAAACAAAATGAATGTCTTAAGATGAAAAGGCCTGAATAGTAACCATACGATTCATTTAAAAAACACTTCTCTGCTATTTGATATGCTGTCAAAAGTAATTAAAAGTCTACCTTGTTGTCTAGGTATAGATTTCTTGAATTTATATATATAATAAATATTTAAGAAGTCCATCTATAATTTCAGAAGTTGTTAGGATGCATATTTATGTATGTATTTTACATGCAAGATATATGCATAGAAAGATAAGAAAATTCTGGAGTCATTCTCAGAAGGTACCAGTGCTTATGTACATAGGCCAAAGGTTTGAAGAGGGTCTGTCCTTGGGAACTACAATTCTACGGGAATGTGGATTAAACAGCTAGGAAATAAAACATAAAGCCACATGTAAATAAAAGCTATCTCCCCTTTGGAAAACCTCAAAAGACCTATATGGACATTTGTAAGACTGGTTTTACAAAACACAGGAAGCACTGGAATTTTCCAGTAATATAGCAATAAAAATAATGAAAAATAGGCAGACAATTTTCAAGACAAGCGATTACAAGAGTATCTAGATGGTTAAGCACATTTTGCTGGGATGTAAACTTAAATCTTACTCTCCTGTAATACAATAGGAGCTATACTCTCCAGAATGAGCAAAGGGTCAGAAGGCAGTTTAAAATTAGATTTTTTTTTTTCCTCATTTATCCCTATTCATTGTGAAGATGGCATTTTTCCTCAAAGATTAGCTATGAAAAAAAAACCCAAAACTAAAGACACACCTATTGCTTCACAGGTTTATTAGCTGCGTTTCTCACTACAAATTGAAGTTTCAGCAAATTTGTAATTGTTTTCCCCTGTTATATAGCATTACACATGGATTAATGGATATTTCCCTGAATACATTACAAAAGGAACCATAAAAATGATTTGTTTTCCCTCATTTTATAAAATAGATGTATCCTACAATTCTTTTCTTTACACTAACTCCAACTATAATGTGGTCCTTAGTTTCTCTTAATTTTCCCAGAATCAGACCTTACTGTAGCCAATGCTTCCCCCCCCCCCCCCATATGCATTCCCCATCCTGTTACAACGCTAAGTATATTCCATCTATTGCTGGGGGAAAAAAGAAGTCACTGTTTTTCTCTAACACTCTTATCTAGCTTCCTTCAGTTTCCTTCTACAATATACTCTGCCACTATTTACAATATTTTTATCATCACCTCACTATTTTTCTTTTTTTTTCTTTGCAGATTTTTTAAATTAATTTATATTTACCTACTTTAATTTCATTTTTCCTACATAAGTTAATTTTTGGCAGGTAAAACTCAAAGGCACTTCAAGCTCCACTATTACAGGCAACATTTTGCCAAGGAAATAAAATACATACATATCACCAAGTAGCCATTAAAATAGCCCACATAATCAGCTTGCCTGAAGCATGCTAACTTTTTCTTAATTTAAGTAGTAATGGCTGTCACTTTCACCACGGCTGCTCACTAAATCTAGGATTTGCTGAGAACACAGAGTTCAAAAATTTCAAGTTTGTTGCCTGGCACATAAAATTTACATTTTCTCAACTTTTACAATTAATAATTGTAAATCTGACATTTAAATTATTTGTCTAAGCCCCAAATCAGAATTGAAGGCAAAATTGTATGAGGTGCTGTTCATGAGCAACACTAAAGATTAGATACCTTCCAGAGAGCTGACTATGCAAATCCATACATGCACTTAAAAAATGATTCAATTTTACCAAATGAATGAAAGAATCTCTTAAAACAGCTCTATTCAAGCTGTCTGAGAAAACTTCCAGAGAATCTTAAGTACAGAAACAAACATAATGGAGCCAAAAAGTTAAAAACCCAGTAGCAATTCTAGGCACACATACTCAAACAGCAGAGAAACAACTGCGAGTCCTGTCATAAAACTGAATTACAAAAAAAAAAACCCAAAAAAACCACCACTAAAACCCTGAACATTTACAAATGCCAGGAGAATCTTTTTCTACTCAAATATCAAGAAAGTCAAAGCTCATTTAATAAAGTCAATCAAAATGAAATTTGGAGATAACTAATGGCAGAGTTATTTAATGAAGTTACCAGGAAATCTCAGGAAGCATCCCGAAGGCATCTTGATGAAATGTATTTAAAAATGACTGAAATCTCAGCTGCCCAGAGATGGTGTTGAAGCAGGAAACAGCTGAAATATTGAAAGAGAGTAAATCTTTTACTGCAATAATCCTGCTTCAAGCCACAGTTCAAGAACACTCACAACCTTCCCTTTTTAGGGTGCCCTTGAACAGACAAGAGGAAACATTATTTGAGCAACACTCTCCCATTCCCACGCAACAAATAAAAGGGCACTCTAGAAGATGTGGT